ATGCAAAGCTTTATTCAAATGTAAATTATAACCTTTAGCTTCAGGAGAAGGCAAAGATTTTTTATATTTTTAACTTTTTACTATGGAACACATCAAACTGTATAAAAGTAAAGAGAATAATATAATATCCTCTTGTTACAGAACCATCACTCAACTTTAGAAAGAATCAATTCATGACCAATCCTATTTTATTTATATTCTCACCCACTACCACCTCCCTCACTGGAATATTTTTATCATATAATTTATAAATATTTCAGCATGTATCTCTATAAGATAAAGAATCTTTTTTTAAAGCTGTAATACTATAATCACACTTAAAAAATTATCAACAATTGCTCTTTCAACTATGCACTCAGTATTCACATTTTCCCTGTCTTACTTTTTCTGTAAGTTTGTTTCTTCAAATTAGGACCCAAATAAAGCCCAGTTGCCTCAAGTGGTATGTCTCCTCCATCTCTCTTTATGTATATATTCTGCCTCCATCTCTTTTCTCCCTTGTAATTCATTTATTGAAGAAACCAGGTCATTTGTCTTGTAGAGTTTCCTTTAGTCTAGATTTTACTGGTTATACCCCTCCTCGCTTTTAAAAATTTTTTATTTTTTGTAGAAGTTTTAGATTTACAGAGAAAGTTGTGAAGATAGTATACGGAGTTCCTATACAGTCCACCCAGTTCCCCCTGTTATTAATATCTTACATTAGTATAGTATATTTGTTACAATAATAGACCAACATCAAAACATTATTTTTTTTAATTCATTTATTCATTTATTTTGAAAGAGAGTGTGTGCAAGGGACAGAGAGAGAGAGAGAGAGAGAGAGAGAGAGAGAGAGAATCCCAAGCAGGCTCCAAGCACAGAGCCCAATGTGGGACCAATCTCATAAACCATTTTGGCCTGAGCCAAAATCAAGAGCCAATGCGCAACCGACTGAGCCACCCAGGTGTCCCTCAAAACATTATTACTAATCGGGGCGCCTGGGTGGCTCAAGCGGTTGAGCGTCTGACTTCGGCTCAGGTCATGATCTCACAGTTCGTGGGTTTGAGCCCCTCATCAGGCCCTGTGCTGACTGCCAGCTCAGAGCCTGGAGCTGGTTTCAGATTCTGTGTCTCCCTCTCTCTCTGACCCTCCCCACTCACGGTGTCTCTCTCTCTCTCTCTCAGAAATAAAACATTAAAAAATTAAAAAAAAAACACATTATTACTAATCAAAGTCTCTCTCAGCTGACAGGGTGAGGAAATTTGTGTACACTAACCCTTGTATATATACATATCTGTAACTGTTTCTATATGTAATCATCTATACCCAAGTAAGCTAAACACAAATTCATACTGATGTCTCCAGCTCTAATACACTACCACATGGATCTTCATAGCTTCTTCCTGTTATTTAAAAAAGATGTTCTTTTGTATTTCTTATAAAATTGTAGTTAGATCCACATTCAAATTCAGTTTTTTGGTAAGAACATTTCATAGTAGGTGGTGTGTTCTTCCATTGTGAGGCACATAAGATCTGACTTTCTTTTAGTGATGTCAGCAGTCATTGATGATCATTTCCTACTATTACTTAAGTTCTAAAAATACTAAAATTACAATTGGCTCTATCTTTTTTTCTTTGACTAATTAGAATACCCTACATAAACTTCCTCTTATCAAGGAGTCCTGGGGTACAACCCATATAAAAAGAGACAGGATAAATGCTTCTTTTCCTCTTCTTCCTCCTTATTATAGGATTCAAATACGGTTTTTATTTTTTCTTTTGTTGATGTGATGTATCACATTGATTGATTTGCAAATATTGAACCAGCCCTGGAACCCAGGAATGAATCCCACTTGATCTTGGTGGATAATTATTTTCATGTGCTGTTAGATTCAGTTTGCAAGTATCTTGTTGAGGATTTTTGCATCTGTATTTATCAAGGATATTGGCTTGTAGTTCTCTTTTTTTGCTGGGTCTGTGTCTGGCTTGGGAATCAAAGTGATGCTGTTTTCATAAAATGAGTCTGGAAGTTTTCCTTTGATTTCTATTTTTTGGAATAGCTTGAGAAGAATGGGTATAAATTCTGTTTTAAATGTCTGGTAGAATTCCCCAGGGAAGCCATCTGGCCCAGGGCTCTTATTTGTTGGGAGATTTTTGATAACTGATTCAACTTCTTCACTAGTTATGGGTCTGTTCAGATTTTCTATCGCTTCCTGTTATAGTATTCAAATACTATTTATTGAATTAATGGATTATCTCAGAGGCTCCCAAAATTTCTCAGTTCTCTGTAATGTAGGATGTCTATAAATATTCCATGGCCCCCTTAAGCCAAAAGAAATAGCTCACAATGTCATTTGCTAAATGGTTAGGTTCAAACATCTTAGTAAGTGTTATATCTTAACTGTTTGTCACCATCTAACATCTCAATCCTCATTCCCTGTTCCACACTGATTTTCTCATCTCTTACTTGCTTCTCATCACAACTGCTAAAAATCCAGCTTCCCAAAGGTAGGACATCATCATTAAGGATGTAGCCATCGACTATTGAATCTAATCATTGAATCGAAGCTAGTAGTGTTCTTTATGTCTGAAAGAGACTGCTAAGTTTCTCAGGAAATTTAAAATATCTCTCAGTGCTTCTGGAACTCAGTATGGTGCACTGCTTGGGAACCTCAGACTTCATTTAAAATAAGTAATAAAGGTATTTATTAAATTTTAAGTTTCAGAATTCTTGTTTTTTTAGTATTGAAGTATAGTGGATATACACTGTTATATTAGTGTCAGGTGTACAACACAGTGATTTGACAGGCCTATACCTTACTCAGTGCTCACCACGGTAAATGCTGTCACCATCTGTCACCACACAATGTTATTACAATACCATTTCCTATATTCCCTATGCTGTAGTTTTCATCTCTGTGACTCATTTATAATCACAAGTTTTGTACCTGTAAATCCCCTTCACCTATTTTGCCTATCCATCCTACTGCTTCCCCCTGATTATTTTTCACATGAATTCATTCTTTAGCATCTTCTGAGGCTGACCACTGATTTTTTTTTGGTTTTGAGTATGATACGAACTTGGAGTAGCTCTTGAGGGATATGGCATTGCTCTCAGCTAGCTACCTCCAGCCTTGACTCCTGGACAATGCGCCTCAGGAGTGTGGGACGGGGGAAGGGGCTGGAGGCTGGGCTCACCTGCAGAGGCAGAGAAGAGTTGGGATAGGGATGACAAGGTTGGGGGAACTTGAGGGCTTCCATAGTCATTCATCCTGAGAAAGCTCTGGTCTCCAAAGTCATTAGTTCTTTTATAGCTGCTGCCTTGGGTTCATAGAGTTTTCCACATTGCCTTAGATAAAGCTGAATCCATCTTTAAAAGCCTTCTCAAGCAACCAGGAAAGAAAAATAGCCTGAAGCTCTGGAAAGGGCATGTCTGGCCCTAAATCCATCAAGGAAGCTCATGTAGGAGAAAACGCAAGTCAGCTTTGGAAAGTTAGGGATAAGAGGGCACTGGGTTGTTTAGTCGTTAACCTGAAACAAATTTAAAAACCACCACCAGAGATTCTGATTCATTTGGTCTTGGGGGTCTGCCTGGAATTTGCAGTTTTCATGAGCTTTCCGCAACATGATTCTAATGTTCAACAGGGGCCATTTCCAAACCCTCTACAACTCCACCAGGCCAGTGAATTGTGGCACCCCTACAGTCTCCTCACTTTGCTTCTGTTGCCTGATGCTAGTAGATGCCGTCTCTGCCATGTCATTCAGAAGACTAAGCTAGGAAGGATGATGCCAGGGGCACTCCCTCTCCCTTCCAGAGCTGGAGCCTGATGTTGGCTGAATTCCCACCCACAGGTCTTTACTATAAGACTCATCACTCTGAGTCTACCCTCAACTCCAAGGATGGCTACCTTAACTTGGTGCTGGGCACTGTCCTTAGTGCTTAAAACATTGCACTATCCCTAAAAGGTTCGCTTAGCAGATGAGCAACTAGTGATCTGCAAAAGTTAAATGACTTGCTAAGGTCACAAGCCTGCGTCTGGTCAGGTTTGTGGGCTCTTTCTTATCATGCTGTCACTTATAGTCTGTGACTCAAGGAGCTGCCTTCTCCCTTCCTTTGTGTAACAAACATGGACTCCTGTAGAGGCTGTCTATCTGCACAGGGCCCGGGAAGGGTGGGGAAGGCTGGTCTGGGTGAGGGACTCTGAATCCCAGTTCCTCAGCATCAGGCCCAGAGTAGCGCCCTGCCCTAGGGATGGACTGCTGGTTCCTTCACGGCTCAAGGGTCTGAGTGTGTCTGGGTAAAGCCCTAAAACCCGAAAGCTTTATCCACTTCTACCTCTGACCCTTCCTGCGCCCACAGGGCTTCACCCACAGCTCTTTCCTCACTGAACCCTTCCCCTGAAAATCACATCAATCCTATCCTTCCCTACTTGTCCCATCCGCTGCCTATCGCCACTCCCAATTTCTGTCTGCAACTACACTTATTGACCACCCCTGTCCTACGATCCCCATCTCAAAAAAATGACGCCACCATCCACCCAGGCCATAAACTTTGACCTCATCCTGGCACAACTCTCCCCCAACGTTCAACCTTCCACAGAGTCCCCTCCAGTCCCCTTCCACCACGCAGCACAGCCGTTACACCCGTCGCTCCTCTCCAAGGACTTTCCAAGGACGGGCCAAGTGTCTAAAGCCAACTCGGCCTCAGTCCTTCGTAGTCCCGACCCCAGGTCCAGCCTCAGAGTGCCACCAAACTAAACCAGATGCAGCTCCCTCTGGCTCCCGTGCCGCCTCCAGCCCCCAGCCTAGGCACCAATTACAGCCAGCCAGGCTACGCAGCAGGCCCGGCACTGGGACGGATGCGTCACTTCCGCACCAGCTCGGCGCCCAGGACGCCGGCCACGCCTTCGGCCCGCCCCTCCCGGGGCTCCACCCAGACGCTGCGGTCACCTGCCCCCGGGGCCTGCAAGCCCCGCCCCCACTGGCCGCCGCGGCCCGCCCACCCACGTAGGCCCTCGGGACCGCGGCGGTGACGGAGTCGGGCCATGGCCGGGGTCCGCAGGCTGGCGCTGGAGGAGGCCCTGGCGCTGGGGCCTGGCTGGCGGCACGCGTGCCACGCGCTGCTCTACGCGCCGGACCCGGGGCTGCTTTTCGGCCGCATCCCGCTCCGTTACGCGGTCCTGGTGAGAGGGGGCGCCTCTGCCCCGCCCCGTTCCCTCCCCCTCCCCCTCCCCCTCCCCCTGCCCAGGCGACGCCGGCCGGGCGCCCGGGCAACCCGGCTTCCCTCTCCCGCAGATGCAGATGCGCTTTGACGGGCGCCTCGGCTTCCCCGGAGGCTTTGTCAACTTAAAGGACACCAGTCTGGAGGCCGGGCTGAACCGCGAGCTGATCGAGGAGCTGGGCGAGGCCGTGGCCGACTTCCGCGTGGAGCGCGCTGACTATCGCAGCTCGCACGCCGGGTCCGCGCCGCAGGTCGTGGCCCACTTTTACGCCAAGCGCCTGACGCTCCAGCAGCTGGTTGCGGTGGAGATGGGCGCCCCACGCGCCAAGGACCACGGGTTGGAGGTGGGGCCGGCCCGGGAACCCCAGCCCCATCGCCTGCCTGCCCCCGAAAGCAGCCCCCCACTTTCCTGGAGTAGCCGGGGTCTTGGGCTTCTTTCATCTGGTTGACTACCGCAGCCAACGCAGTCTCCCCCTTTTTACTGACCTCCGCAGTTGTTTTTCTGGAACACATCTATCCAAGACTCTCCTCTCCCCATAGATTTGGTCAAGCCTTCCACCCTAGGCCCATGATTTTCTTGGGTAGAAGATGTGGCCCGATACTTTGTGGGGAAACCTTTGTCATTAGGCTAGGGGAGTAGGGGGACAGATTGTGTATAGAGATGATTCTCAGACTTGGGCAGGTATCAGAATCATCTGGGAGGCTTATTACTGACCCCACTTTCAGGATCTCTGGGTCAGTGGGGGAGAGAGAAAAGGACCTGAGAATTTGCATTTTTCAGAAGTTCCTCAGTGGTGCTGAAATGGCTGGTCTGGTGTATTTTTGAGAACTACTTGGTGTAGGGCCAAGCGTGCATCCTGGAGGCAAGAGCCGCCAAAAGTTTAGTGATGTAGGAAGGATTAGCATTTATGAAGCTGAGTGGCAAGACTTGCGTCCTTTGTAGGTAGAGAGGTGGGTGGGCCCACAAGGTATAAGGTGTAAGTCCTCAGGCCTGGTTCAGCTGCACTGATAAGGGGTGAGGCCTCTCATCTGGAAAGATCTGTCTAGGATGAGCCACCTGTCTCATCATCACCTGTCTCCTTCCTTTCACAGGTGCTAGGCCTGGTACGTGTGCCTCTCTACACCCTGCGGGATGGTGTGGGAGGCCTGCCTGCCTTCCTGGAGAATTCCTTTATTGGAACTGCACGGGAGCAGCTGCTAGAAGCCATCCAGGATTTAGAACTGGTGGAATCTGGCTCTCTTACAGCCCGTAAGATCTCCTTACCTCGCCAGAGGCAGCCCTCCATGGGCCCACGGCACCTGAGATGAGAACCTTGGTACTAGGGAAGGGAGGCAGGGACAGGGAAAGCTTTCTCTTCTGGGCCTGGGTCTGACAGATGATAATAGATTAAGAGAACTGTGTGCAGTATATTTGAGCAGAGCCCCCACCCACCCCTGCAACTCAACATCTGGAGCAAAACTGCAGCTCATCTCGGCCACCTGGCACCTTCTCAGAGCCTGCCTCCTCTCCGTACGTTTGCACACACACGGCATGGCAGGCCCCAGACATATGAATGTACAGCCTGTGCCCGCACACGAGCTCACTCCTACCTGTAACCCGCCACTTGCAGTTTAAGCAGGACGTGGCGTGTGTGGGGCCTAGCTTGTCCTCCATGGGGAGGGGCTTCTGAACCGGGGAAACATTTCTTCCCACACTCCTACATGGCTGTTCTCCAGGGTCTGGTCCAGCCCATGCTTGCTGGGGATGACAGAGAAACAGAGGACCCTTTCCCCACCTTGAAAATGGTCACATCCTTGCCTGGGTGTTGGTAGAAGCAATATACCCCTGAAAGGTGGGACAGGGTCCTAACCAACGTCCTGCCCTCTAATGAAACTTAGTGGAAGGGGTGAGAGAAATGGCTTGGTCTCCTTGGATTGACCTTGAACTTGAGACTTCTGCATCCTGGCATATCTCCTCCAGAGCTGTCATCTGGGATGCTTTACACTGGGGACATCAGAAGGGAAGCGACCCAGCCCTGGTCTAGCCCTGACTTACAGCTGAAGGGCTTATAGCTGAGCCTCAAAGCCCTTCAGTTTTCTCAGTGAAGACTGTATGAGGTATTACAGATCTAGCGATGAGAGAGCCATAGCTCTTGCACTCCACAGGGTTAAAGGGCTAAAATGGCAAATATTGCAGGCTTTGTGAACTATATTATCTTTGTAGCGTCTGTTCAGCTCTTCGTTTCAGAGGTAGCAATGAGCAATACATAGTGAGCATAACTGTGTTCCAATAAAACTTTCTTTATAAAAGTAGGTGTCCAGCCTGAGGGCAGTAGTGTGCCAATGCCTGCTCTAGAGAGGAAGATAAGTAATCTATTTAATTATGATGCTCATTTACTTGCTTCATGTATGTCAGTGTTGAGAAGGAAATAAAAGATTGATACAGGTCTCGCCTTGATATTTTCTACTTTTCACCAGGGTGGTCTGGAAGGGCCCTCCATGAAGAGCATTTAAACTGAAGGATAAGAAGGAAATACCAGGTAGGAGCATGGGAAGGGTATTCTAGGTATTCCAGGGAGTAGCATGTGTTAAGCTTCTGAAGAAGAATCCTGGCAACTTATCCCACAGCAAGGGTAGGGGGATTAAACTCTACTTCTCAATTGGGGCTGCAGATGGATAAGCAAGGAATTTGCAGTCATCTTTGATTTACCAGAGCATAGTCTAGAAATGATAAAAGGCTGGTGTAATTAGGCTACAGGAAGCAAGGGGAGAGGACGCAGGAGAGGCAGGCTGGAGCCAGATGGCACAGGGCCTCACAAGGCGGGGCCAGGGCTGGTGGTGTGTGCAGCGTGGCCTGGAAGGGGATAGGAGAGGGAGGCAGGGACGGGAGGCTGCCACAGCAGCTCACGTGGGAGACGGTGGTGGTCTGAGCCACGGTGGTAGAGGGGGTGGGGAGAAGTGGATGCCTTCCAGAGAAGTGCTGGTGACCTTGACAGGCCCTCTGATGGACCGGATGTGGAGTGAAGTGAGAGAGTAGAGGATTCAGAGATGACTTTTACGTTTGTGTCTTAAGTTGTGCAAGTTGTGGATGGAAGGAAAGCCTGGGTGGAGGCGTAGAAGGTTTTGCAGGGGACAGAATCAAGATCATTCTGGGCCTCTTGAGACATAAATTTGTGAGCCCTCTGCCTAAAGATGGTATAGCAGTTTATCAGATGAGGTCAGGCAGGGAGAGAAAAAAAGAAGAGGGCTCAGGACGAGGCCCTGAGGAAGCCTAGGCCTGGGGCTCGGGAGGAGGGGAGGAGGGGCACCACATACCGAAGAGGGCCAGGAGCAGAAGCTGCTTTAAGAAAGTGAACTCTGCCAAGGGCTTATGAGAGTTTTAGTAAAATAAGGGGCAGAACTACCCACCGGATTTGGTAGCAGGAGGTTTTTGATGACTGGTGGGAGCACCTTCAGGCAGGGGTGGGAGGTGAGTGGCAGGCAGACCAGAGTTGGGCGGGAGACTGGACGAAGGGAGAATCTGGTCCTGAAGGGCTATGGAGAAATGGTCGCATAGCTGGAGAGGGCTGCGGGCTCGGGTGGAGCGGTCACGGCACGGATGGAGCAGGGGCGTGATGGGAATGTTCCAGGAAGAGGAAGGCAGTGCACCCGCAGTCCTTGAACAGAGAGGAGGGATGGGCCATCCCGTAGGAGGGGGGACAGTCCTGAGGCGTCACAGGGCTCAAGGAGAAGAAGGGGCAAGGGTAGAGGATGAGGAGGCTAAATTAGCGGTGGGACAACGGAGTTTGACTTTCTTAGGGAAATGAAGTGAGATTGATCAGCTGGATATGGGTGATGTTCTCAGCAGGGAGGAAGTAGTCCTTCATCGTGGCAGGAACAGCAAGTTGATGGCGCCTGGGAGGCTCAGTTGGTTAAGTGTCTGACTTCAGCTCAGATCATGATCTCCCGGTTTGTGATTTCAGGCCCCGTGTCGGGCTCTGTGCTGACAGCTCAGAGCCTGGAGCCTGCTTCGGATTCAGTGTCTCCCTCCTTCTCTGCCCCTCCCCTGCTTGTGCTGTCTGTCTCTCAAAAATAAACAAACATTTAAAACATTTTTTTTTAGGGGTGCCTGGGTGGCTTAGTCGGTTAAGCGTCCCACTTTCACTTAGGTCATGATCTTGCGGTTCGTGAGTTCGGGCCCCGCGTCGGGCTCTGTGCTGACTGCCAGCCCAGAGCCTGGAGCCTGTTTCAGAGTCTGTGTCTCCCTCTCTCTCTGACCCTCCCCTGCTCACGCTGTCTATCTCTCTCTCTCTCTCCTAGAAATAAATAAAACATTAAAAAAAAAAACATTTTTTTTTAAAAAGCAAGTTGATGAAAGAAACAGCAGAAGGGTGGGGCCAGGTTGAGCCATGAATCCGTTTAGAGTAGGAATCTAGGCCCTCAGATGTGTGGGGCATCAGGGGGAGGGGGAGTCTACATGCATACACGCTTTCCCACCCTCTGTGTTCAGCAGCTAGGGTAAAGCCACTTGTGCCGAGCTGGGGTTTTACAGAGGAGCACAAAGAAGGGAGGGGGAAGGTGGTTAAGATGACATGCGTGAGAGAAACCGTACTGATGCGCTGTGGGGTAAGAGATTTAATCTGGGGACAAAGGGAAGTGAAGACAGGTGACTTCAGGGAGATTAACATATAAGAGGTCTCAGTGGTGCAGGACTCCCAACATGGGGTGTGGTGGGAGGTGTATTTGAGCACAAGAGAGAGGTTTTTGAAATTGAGAGAGCCATCACAAGTAAAGTCAGGGTCCATGTGAAGAAGCAAGACTGACAATTGTTGGAGAAGCTATTGTGAACTAGGAGCCACCACCCTCAGTGAACAACAGGAGTGACCTAAAGGCCAGTGACAGCTGCCAGGAGGGGACAGGAGGCATGACAGGGCAAGAGGAGCCTCCAAGGAAATGGGCTTTTGCACAACGAAGGGGTGAGTAGTGGTCTGGAGAGGCGGCGGGAAGCAATGTGGGTCCCATGAAGGTTCTCGGCCTTGGAAGGGGGGGTGGGGTGGGGAGCAGCTTTAGAGATTGGGCCTGGGCAGGTCTGCCCTGAGCTCCTGCCTGGGTGTAATGTGGCCCAGCGTGCACAGTGTCCATGCAGCCCCTTCACAGTAGCGCGTGGTACTCTGCCCGAGTGTTGCAGCGACCAGGTGCCCCCTAGCATTCAGTCATTGCCTTACTTTTTCATTCATACTTGATCTCCTTATTTTTGTAAGGCTGGCAATGTTGACAGGGAGAATCCACGGCCTTCCTGTATCACCCCACACGCATACTCTTCCAGTCAGTAGCTCTTGTCTCAGTGGGCCACCCTAAACGTGTCCATCGTTCTGTGGCTTGAGTGCATGTCACTTGCCTCATCCCTCCAGTCCACAGGCGGGCCAGGGGTCCATGCAAGTTTCTCCCTCTGGTATCTCCCTCTCTCACCCATTGCCATCCTGCTGCCGGGTGAGGAGACCTGGGTATGGTTGCCCATGTGGATGTCCTTGGCCTTGTGAAACCAGTCATCCTGTCTTCCTAGCTGTCCTCACTCCCCCCCTCCCTTACACTGCCAGTGACCTTCGGCCAGCACTCCACCTGTTCCTTATCTGAAACACTGTTTCCTGCAGTGAGGGTTAAATGTGGCTGCACTTGGGACACGACACTGAAGAGGCGCACCTAGCACCATTTATCGGTACCTGATGCCACCCACGCTTCACTCCCGCTTGTTAGTGCATTGGTTTCTTGGAAGCAGAGTGGCCCATGCTGCCTCCCCCCAGGTATATTTCTGCTTTTCTCAGCAGAATCAGCTAGATGTTCATGCTTCTCAGTTCTGTGCTTTTTCCTGGAGTATGGCTGCTGGTGCTGACTTAACACTTCTGGGCCCCATGCTGTCCTGAGCCACAGTCTTACTCAGTTATCAAGTTTCTGACAAACCTATTTTTAGGCAGAAACATTTGAGGAAAGAGTAGCTGGTCCTTTCCAGTGTGACTCGGGCCCCCAGAGGCCGTTACGTGAAACAGACCAAGGCAGAGATGGAGAAGTGAGAAGGGTGTTTTCTACGAGTCTGTTTATTGCACAGAGAACATTTGTTTTGCCATGCTTTCTACCCCAAACAGACAAAATTAATGGGGAAAAAAAAGGGGGGAGGAATAAACATTTTACCTGTGATAAAATTAGTGAAAAGCACCAGAACTTGACCCAAAGTAACAGACATTGGTCCTTGGCCCATCTCAGAGGGGCAGGGGGAGCAGGAGGTGGGGGGATTGTATTTAAAACACAGTTCTGGGGGAACTGGGGGAACCAGCCAGGGCAGAGGAAAAAGAGAAACCTCCACTGGATTTAAGGCCACAGAAAACTCCCTAAACCGAGTGGCTTCACCTTCCCTCGTCCTCCTACTTCTGTCTGACTCAGCTTGAATAAGGAAGTTCATGATCCCTCTAGCAGTAAAGGCAGCCTGGCAGAGAGCTGAACCCACCTTGCAGGCAAAGGAAGCTCCTCACCAGACAGAGGGAGTCTGTGTGTGGGGTTTTCCCCAAAGTGCTCAGCTCACCCCCATGCAGAGATGCAACCTGTGTCGCCCCCTCTCCCACCCCTGGGTTCTGTAACTCTCCTTAGGCATTCCCAGCTGATGAAATGGCAAGGATACCCCTCCTTCCAAGGGAGATGATCCCTGAGTGGGGTTTTCAATAATCATAAAGACCCTTGGAAAAACCCCAGTGAGGACAGCTATTACCCACAGCCCCATTCGCCCACCCACTTCAGGCCACTGAGGACAGACTGATAAATGAACAGCCTCCTGTTGTCCAGGACTAATTCCAGGGTGGGGAATAGGCCAAGTCCAGGGAAGCGGGGGCCTGGGGGTGGGGGCAGGTGAGTGATCCCCTGCTTGTTTGAGGGTCAAAAAATATAAGAATTGCTTCTGGTTAAGTAAACAGGAATTGATAATATGAGGTCTGTTCAAAAAAAAGGAAGGAACCGTGGTTGTAAATGATAAAGAGTGAGCTCTGGAAGATTTATTCCAACAAGCAGAAGCAGGAGTTGCTCAGGGAATAAGGAAAAACATGGACTCTGGAATGAGGTGAAAGATTAGAGGCAGCTGGCAGCAGCAAGGAAAGGAGTTGAGGAGACCGATGTCTCCATTAGCTCAGAATTACACGAGAACAGCGAAGAGCACTGCTCACACCGGAGAAAACTACCACTGATGTCAAGAGCAGGCTTACAAAAACCACCTAGAATACAAAAAGTACTGAACAAGGAAAGTGACCAGAGAGAACACCGGAGATGGAGAGATTACACAATGGAAATCAGAGTACTGCTAACTGATAGAATGAAAATATTAATAGGCAGCCCAGAGAGTGTACCATACCACGAATAAACCTAAGGCAAACTCTGGGCCTTGGGTGGAATGACCTGACATTAGTTCATCAATTAACAAGTGTACTGCT